ACATCTATCTTTATATACATTCCACATTTCTAAATCAATAAAACGATGCCAGCTGCTCTCATTGTTATGTAGAATTCGAAGAAGACTCATCTATCTGCAGACGTTACAAATAGACACACAAAAAAAAACGCACGCGCGTGTCCTCGAGCCATCTTTTAGATGCATTCCACGACGCGCGTTCAGCCTGATTATTCAGACGTTCGCGGATTCTTTTTCTCGTCGGTTAATGACGTGATAAGCGATCATTATCCGCAAATGCCAGAGGTAGCGTTTTAATCAAGATCGTGTCATACGCTCGTCTCTAATGTTCGCCACGGCCGAATGCGAAGAAGATCGCGCGTTCCACCTCCGGAATAAACGTTTTATCTGATGGGACCTGCGACACTCGTCCCGCACGCGATTTGCATAATCTAATACCTTCGTCGGCGGCGCGGAATAAATATAGAAATATGACGAGCTGTTTCTGTAGGATCCACCGCTCTGCAATTTGCAAGGCGTAATAACAGCTTTAGATACACTATGCAAGTTTCACGGAAAATTAAGAATTATCTCATATAATTATGCAATCATTTATTTTTGCATGTAAAAAGTTGAAATTGTACGTACAAATTTTCTCTTAAGTCCTTTGTACGGGTTGTCCGTTGCAATAAAATTTTGTACAGACTTTATAGAAATTTTTTCTTAATACATTCGTCGACGGCGCGGAATAAATCTAGAAATATGACGAGCCGTTTCTGCGGGATTCACCGCTCTGCAATTTACAGAGTGTAATAACAGTTTTAGACCCTGTGCAAATTTCTCGAAAAATTAAATTTTTCCTAATACTAACAATTATATCAACTGTTTCAATGCAAGTTTCAATTATATCTATTCCTAAATTATTTACTTAATTATGTTACTAAGATAAAATGCATTTATTTATATTTAGCCAATTTTTTCAGAAGTGTTTGTTTAAACAAAATTTAATCTTATAATTATTTATTCATTTTTTATAGAAATTAATCTTATGGATGCTTCATCATAAAAGCTTGGTAATAAGTACATGATAAAAATATTTTATATAACGATTTCAAAAAATTCAGAGTTAAGAAAGAATTTAAAAACAGTAGTCCATTAAAATAATATAAATTTCGGTGAGTTTTATCAAACTATGGTAATGAAATTAAATAAAACAGATTTTTTGAGTCCGTCTCTACCGTGATCCTATCACAAAAGCGTTATCGTTGATATATATCAACGTTCAGAAACTCTCCAAGCTGTAGTCAGAGATCGTTAACGCCCGAATCGCGACACGAAATTTATGTCGAGTCGTTAATGAAGCAGAACATTCTGCTAGGGAGTGCAAACGTGTCTTCGAAATTTGTCATGTTACACGCGCCGTGATTCTTCGCTACATCGGGCAATGTATTATTATCGACACTACAAGATGCACGCGTATAAATTTTCGGCCGGCAAATATGAGCGGCGTGACTTAAATTCCCAGCGGGGACCGTTTTCAAATCGCTAGTGTCTCTACGCTGTGAACGACTAAAACGATTCATGAATTATTAATTCCACGTAAGATGCCTCCGGGACGACGTGTGTGCTCGCGCGCGCGCGCGAAAACACACGGGCGCGGCTTTAAATCAGGACGCGCCGCGCGAACGGTCTCGAATTAATTAAAATTTGACGGTCGCGTTAAGAACCGGTTGTAAAGTCTATCCGATCGGACCGGTGTGAGGGCGCCTCTGCGTGAGATGAGGATGACCGAGGGCTCCTTCGATTGTTAACGGCGTTAAGGGAACGAGCGCGAAGCGCGATCACCGGGCCTATTGAAACAGAGAACGTCCGCGCGCGCGGATCTGCTCGCAAACCGGTTTAAATCCGCGGCTAACAGGAAACGCGCGAGATTACCCGTTTCCTCAATTTTCATTAGAGAGCCGCCTGCTGCCTGCGCGATGATACTAGCGTGAGTTCGCGCTGCACGAGATAGAAACGTTCAAATTAGAAACCCTGAATACGATTGATTTCTGCCAACTAAATCGACAAATAAAACAGATCTTTGCAAATACTGTATCTCTTACTTCTATTTCATTTTTTTCCCCCTACTAATCCCGCGTGAACGGAAATAACGGATTGGCAAGACTCTGATTATGAGTTTGTGTCGTGGTATTCAGCAGGCGCGAGCGCGACACACTTCACTGATCGGCTACCACGTGGATGAAACCGGTCGATCGATATGCCCAACGATCCACGACACTTTTAAATTCCCTGTTCGTACATGAAAGGTCGACGATTTTTCGGCCAAATGTGGAACGAGGCGAAAATCGAAGCTTGTCGAGTTAAAAATAAAGGTGAAATAACCATTAAGTAAATTACGACATAACCACCGATAAACTTTGAATACATATCAATACATATCAAATCAATACTTATATTTAAATTGTAAATTATGCATAAAAACCAATCAAAAATATAAAAAATACGCGGAGATATAAATATTTTTACATATTTACGTATTAAATTTGAGTTTGCATTAACGAGTCATAAATATTTTTTGCACATCCACATTAAAATAAGAAAAATGTCATCAATAATTTCTTGGAAGTCGATTGTTAAGTTGAAAAAAATCGTCACTGCAATATTTACATATCACATCTCGGACACAAATAACATATCACACTTGCAAATGATGCCTAAATCGTCAGGTACCTAAATCGTTTCTCGCCGCAAATAAAACTCTATGAAGGCACGCTTCACCTGCCCTCCGATCCTGTATTTTCGAAACGCGAGTGAAAACAAATAACCTGAGTGTACCTGTCCTTCGAGGGGGCAAACAAAGTTTGCTCGCGATGTATACCTATGCCTGGGTCCAGCTCGGCAGGATCCCTTCATGATTTCACCCTCGATAGACTGATGTTCAGGTGCATCAGTCGAGCGCCTCTAAGCCGCCGATGACATTACGTTTAAATACAAGCATAATTATAAGATTTCTTAAATATAATCTTCCCTGTAATATGTATATTGTGTGCACTTGTATGTAAAAAATCGAGATAACATCATTTTTGAATGATAAATAAATAAATGATAAAAATAAAATCAATTGCAGTATAAAATATATTATTTTTATACCATACTATTATTATTGCAAAACCCTACAAAAATAAATTAATTAATTGTGCATGTTTATTAAATACACTTATTTACCGAGTGCTAAACGTATCAATTACTGTTCACCTGACGTTCGTACGCCGCGAAACAGGTTGTCAAAAAACCATCGCGTAAAAAAAGCTAGGGCGCGAGGTGAAGAAAAAATTCCTCACAAAACTTCCAGGCTTTTTTATGACGGTACAGCTAATGGACGCATCGTGATCGTGTCATGAAGACAAGAGGCCCAGAGTTTCGAGATAACAAAAAATCCGGTTGGAGGCGTATTTAATAGCGGGGGTTGCCGCGCCGTTCACGAAGCGTCCAGACGCTTCTCGGCTCTAAATCTCTCGAGTACAGCGGGGTAATGAAGGAAGCCGGGGCACATTATTACTGCACGTTAATTACTATAACTTACCGGCTAGCTGTACGCTAACCCTTTGCCTCAAAAATTCTCAGCAACGATGATCGCAGCTAAAGGAAGAATTTCAAGAGCTGAGGGGGATCATCGATCAAACACATAATTGTATAAAATCATTTTTGTAAAAATAAATTAATTAATTATTAAAAAATAATAAATTTTTAATATAATTTCTATATATTTTACAATTTTAATTATAAAATATAGAATATAGTAATTAAAATATTTTCAATAAGTAAAATCACACAATACTTTTGATTTAAAAGACAAAGCACAAAACTCTGCAGAACCGTGCCTGACAAAAGAATCTCTACAATGCGAATGCACCTTGCGTCACGCTATTTCGCGTGTCGAAATTGAATACACCATCGATCGTGTATCTTCCTTTCTTACACGAGTTAACGTAGTAAACATTATGTTTTTCATGAATCTTACAATCTTTTAAAGTACAACACATAATTAAACATCGAGCATTCTTCGTTTACATCATTATCTTCATTATCATCGATGTCGTGTCTAACTAGTCGACTTGCTACCCTCGGCTCGCATCAGACTTGCAATGCGAGACGCAACAAGTTGGACGTTCCGTACTCGGTGTAAAGCCGACGACACAAAATCCGTTTCACCTCACGCGAGCTCGCGTGACGCGCACGAACGTGTTCGCGACAAGTTCGAGCAAGTTTCGGGAAGGAGCAACGCATCACCCCCTTCTTCTCGCAGTATAAATCCCGGTATTCTATCCTAGAAAAAAAGACCCCTCGGAACCTAAGAAACCGGAGCCGCGGCGAGACGGAGAAAGAGAGGATTCACCACGTGAAAGGTCGAGCGGGGGTGATCGTAGGGGGGTTGTGTGTGCGTTCGTATATGTACGGCGCGGAGAGACTCCTGCGAGCAGGGTGCTGTTGCAAGGGGACCGAGAGATAGGTGGTGGGCGACCGGGCGGCGAAGGCGGCGGAGGGGGAGAACCGACCGGCAGATGGTCGGCGTGGACCCCGCGACGTGGGAAGCTCCGAATTCTCCGAGTTCCCACAGCCAGAGTGCACCTGCCTTCCCCACTCTGTCACCCCGTGGCAGCCACGGTGGGGCTATATAAGGACCAGGGTTGCACGCGCTAAGGCACCATTCGCTCACTAGCGTTTCGCTCCACAGAGCCGACCTTTCCAAAAAGCGCACTCACCGAGTACACGCAATCCTCCGCTTCCACAATTCATCTCCCGCCAAAGTTCCTATCGAACGACAGTCCGCGACCACGTGTTCCGAGTTTCGACAAGTTCAACGGAAGAAACCGGTTCAGTGTACGTGGTTCGAAGGGAGGAAGAAGCGCTGACACGCAGAGAAAAAGAAAGAGAGAGAGAGAGAGAGAGAGAGAGAGAGAAGAAAGAAGAAGAGAGAGAGAGAGAGAGAGAGAGAGAGAGAGAGAGAGAAAGAAAGAAGAGAGAGAGAGAGAAGAAAGATGGCCGCCACCATGATGATGACCGAACACGTGCTGTACGACTTCGAGGTCAGCGACGTGTTCGAGAACGAGCTCAACGACAATCTTTACAATCTGAAGATGTCAGAGGACAACAAGACCGTGAACAAACGGAGCAAGAGGAGGCGCATCCTGAAGCCGCTGAAGCCGCTGCTGCGAATGCTGAAGAAGCGCACTAGCAGCAAATACGCGAGCGACAAGCGTCAGGAGGCTGTGCCTCAAGTCGAGATCTTCACCGAGGAGGTTGACAACCAGAACAACGCCAACGAGACGCTCGAGTGCAGACTGCTGCAGGAGCTGCGGGATGCCGAGGAAGGTGCCGCCATCACTGTCTGCCTGGACGGCCAGATGACCGTCGTGCCGGTTGTGCCTGGTCAGTGCTACGTGCCGGTGCACTTCGCCCACACCCACGCCGGCGACTTCTACTGGACGACCCTAACCATGGCCGATCGGGACCTGTGCTACAAGGAACGCGCCTTCTCGCAACACCAGCTACCGGAGGTGCAAGTGGCGTGAGGCGTCGTCGTCGAGAACAACCGCATCTACCTCAACGGCGAATCCGAGATTCGGAAGGAACTTCCTTCTGCGAAAGCAGAATCGCATCGACTTTGCGTCCTCGTGGTCGAGAGGACGCGCCGCTGTCAACAGCCGAGGTGTGCGGCTTAGATAAGAACAAGAAACTGTGATCTTTAGATTGTATTTCATGTAGATTTTAGAGATTATGTCATTGACAACTGACTGAGACGAGCATTCCTCGTAGATATAACGGAATTTAATAAGATATACGTCAGAGACGTGCTATATTTTTCCTCTTTTTTTTTTACATTACGCGATGTAATCGCGTTTGTGATATTTGTACCTAGTACATATATATACAGATTTAATTATTTCGAGATTGTGATATCGCGCGGCTTTAACGTCAGCAAGCATCGCTGACGCTTTCCTATGTCTTCCAATATGTTTGTTTGAAATAAATGTTACTGATAAGCGAATATACTTTGTATCAATTGATTCACTGCTCCCTTCCACCTTAGTTTTAAGTGAATAATTTTAAAATTGATATAACATAAAATCTTTTTTATTTATTTTCTTAAATATATTTATTTATATTTAAAGTCATCGAAAAAATTTAGTAAACTTGTTATATTAAAGAGATATACGAAAGAGTCTCTTTAAATAAAAGTTTACAGATACTCGAAAATTCTTATCATGCATAAACTAAAACATCGACAAAAAATCAGTCTGCTAAAGTCTATTTGTATCTAATTGTAAGATTGGATTCAAGAAAATCCTTCAAAGGATGTTTTCTTCCTGTCAAAACGTTGTACTCAGCGATCCGAAGAGTTCCGAGGGCAACTGAAAAAGATTTGACCAGGCATTTGATATTGGACTAAAGAAACGCCGAACAAAATTATTTCATAAAGAGTGAGTTTACGCGGGAAAATTTCTCGTAAGGTAACATATGAAACGAATATAAAGAATACGATTGTCAAACGTTACTATTTAAAGAGCTTTAAATTTAATTATAATTTTCCAAATTTTTTCTATCCATAAATTAAATAGAATTATTGTGTTCATATTTTACATGAATTGCATGCAACTTTACAATGTTTTACAACTTTTTATATTACAATGCAATGATATTTTTACGTAAATAAAATTATGTTACAGCTATAATAAATTTGGAAATAAAGAGAGGAAGCAAAATCGTATACAATAGTTCATTTAATCAAAACCACTGCATAAATATGAATCGATTTCGATAGTACGCACACGTGTTGTCCATATGTGACAACCACATGTCCACTATGGGGTAGGTAGGTTAAATGGGGTGCATGTGAATTCACATGATTTTTTACAGCGGATGCGAGGGTAACCTCGACCCTCAAACCAAAAAATAATAGAAGATACCGCGATGATCTCGGCAACCGTAAATCGGAATATAATAGAATAATCGGAAAAGAGAGTGAATAATTTATGAATTATTCGATGGGGTTAATTCAATTCTGTTTACTTAATGACACTCCACTGTGAAGGACCGATATCAGCTGACGCTACGACAGTTTATTTAATAAAAATGTAGTCGATCTAGCTGCATTAACAATAATTTGCTGTATCAATAAAAAGTAATAAAAGAAATATTCAATGCCTATGTACATGCCTAGTTTTTTTTATAAAATACAAATTTCTTCGATACACTCATTAATTAAATAAAATAAGAAAAAATAAAAATGCAAAGAAATATAAATCAAAAATGTGGTAAATTAATTAACTTTCTAAGCAATTTGTTTTTTTATGGACTTTGCAATTGACAAATCAATCGGATATTAATTTAAATGACAAGACAGCAGACGAAGTGTCTAATATAATATGTAAAAAATAATTGTTATCTTTCTTTGACATACATTTTCTTTTTAGGTAGGTATGCCTGCCTAAAATGGGGTAGGCAGAAAGGTAGCACCCTGTAGAACAGGCAACCCTTCGAACAACCCCGTATTAGATGTAGACTTGCACCCGCGCAGGGGCAGAGGCTTTCTTTAGCGCGCGCCTCCACTTAAAGGAGGTCAGAGCGCAACTCAATGATACTAAAAAAGAAGAGAAGTCCCGCCCGAAATGTATCAATTACGCGAATTATTTTCACCGGCGGCACCGCGACACGTCGATTAAATAAATTAATTCATTATCCTCTTACCGTTGCCCCCCACCGCAGTTCCTCACCTCATTTACGGTCGTCTCACGGCTATCCGGATCGCGTAAATTGGACGAAACGGGTGTGTCGCAACCGTTCGATAGCCTTTTTTCGTAATTACAGTGATTAAAGTGTCCGCGCAGGAATTTTTCCTCGTAAGAAATCGCCACAAGTAATGTCCACATAGTGAGAACGCTTCGACTTGTACCAGTTTGAGAAGGCATTCGAGATATTTATAATTTATACACCGAAGGAATTCATATAGAATATTATATAGATTCCGCGCTTTGCACATATTTGTCGTAAAAATTTGCAAAATTTTATACAAATATATCAGCTTTATATGAGTTTAAAAAAACAGTAAAAAATACTTTTCGAATAGAATATAAAAAACATTTTTTATGATATAAAACTTGTAACATCAAGAAGGAGAATTATCGTAATATTTGTCAAATTTTCAATTATAAGTTGCGATAATGTCAGCGTAACATGAAGTAGTGACAAGAAGTAGTTATTAATCGGGTGCAATAATTGAGTTTGAGTTTGACTATGAATGCGACAAGGAGAATTTCCACTCCGGACAAGGAATATTTCCAACTCCGCGTGAGAAAATGACCTGCTTTATACTTTCTTTTATCACGCCACTTTCACGCTAGTATAATCCGCGTGTCAGGAAAGATAGCCGGAATAAATAGTTGGAAACTATGTAACTGCGGAAATTTGTATTCACAGTAGTTTTCCAGTCTGCTGCGAATGTCACTGGAATTTTAAACGAAAATAAGATACATATATAATTAGCTAATATATTTTAGAAAAAAAAATCGATACTTTTAGGTAAGATTACAAGAGACTGTTATTCCAAAAAAAAAACTCAATTTTGCCGGAAGATAATCGTTCACCTTTTATATTTTTATCAATGTCAAAATGTTAAAAAACATATTGCACAACTTTTAAATGTGAATTAATCAATCCCATCGTAAACAGAGATAAATAAATTCCATTACAAGTAAAAATAAAACATATTACAGCACAAAATATTACTGCCGGTAGCGAAAGTATTAAAATCCGGTTGCATGCCGGCGCGGGAGAGAACCGAGGCGCTTTCGGTGGCGAAACAATCGCCGCTAACTTTCTCGGTTGACATTTCTCGGCGCGAGAGAAAAGCACGTGTTGCGCGGAATCGGCTACCACTTCCTCCCGCGTGCAGCCCGATAGTCGGCCTTTGCCGTCCTCCGAGGAGTGAACGGCGCCGCGTATCTCCCTCCTCGTCGCGGGGGCCCGCTCGTGCCGGCGGAACGCTCACTCGCGCTACTCGCTCATTCCCACGGCCCCGATCGCCGCATTAATGCGAGCCGACGCATACGCAGCGCACGCGATCACCGTCGCACGCGTGTCACGTATGCCGGGCATTAGGTGACCGCACACGCGGAACACTCTCTTTTTCTCTCTCGCGCACGTACGCACATTTTCAATAAATGATTATTCTGCGTAAAGCATATTTATTATCGAAATTTCGAAATTGTGTTTTATTAAAAAAACAATAATCGCGTAACACAATATTTATACGCACATTTCTGTCTCAGTAAAATTCAGTTCTAATTGTAATCGGAAAAATATAATTTCGAATAATCAAACGTTAGATTTTTGCGCGATTTTATTATACTGACATAGATCAGTTTCGGCTGCCAAAAGAATTTATTGATGGACATAGAATGAATTAAACTTGCAAGCTGAAGCAAATTTTCAATTATAAAAAAATATTTGTTGAGACAAATTGCACCAGGATGTCGATTTCAGTCTTATATTTCGTTCTAACAACCAATAAATACTCGTGAGTCGTGTCACGATTAAAGAGCCTGGAAACATGCCACACGAGAAATTTGTCTAACATCCATGCGTCAGCCGGCACTCACTCTAAATCTGTCAATAATTACGCAAAGGAAGGGAACTCACGCCAGTTTCGGCTGCCAAAAGAATTGCCGTCGGCCGAGAATGACAGAGGGAGAGAGCCGTTTCTTTCGTGGCCGGACGAGGAGGCGAAAGAAAGCCGGAATGAAATTGGCTCGTGACTAACGCCGTTCGTCATGGATGATCGCGGAACGTGCTTGCGCCATTCTCGTGCCTATCCTGCAACGCCATTCACGGAAAAAGAGATACAAGAAGAATCGACGTGTCTCCTCGGCGCGTACACGACCTCCTCGACTCGCGCGAGAACGTCGCAACCTCTTTAGAACGATGTGAGAGCGGTTGAAATAGAAGACACCGTTGCATAACGATGCATCAATAATAGCGCGATCGATCGATGACGTCCAAAGTGCGAATAATTAATTGTCGAGGAAGTCCATTGTTATATAATTCGACCATCTAATCTCAAGTCACGATTCAAAAGCTGGTGTGACTTGCTGTATTAAATTTTATATAATATCGTAAGCAAGAAAAAATATATTTACGTTAATTGTTATAAAAATGCCTTTTCAATATTGTGAATAAATCATAGACACTACTTCTGCATATTTATAGCATTAAAAGAATTCTTTCAATTTTTTTTAGCTGGCTTGGAGTTTTTCTCCAATAATGGCCCACTGTAAAAAATAAGACTTGAAAGCAAAAGCGCCATCAGTTCACTGACTTGTTAACACTTTCTAATCGTTGTTTTTTTTACGAAATGTATTAACAAATGGAATACGTAACCAAAAATAAAATCTGTGACAGCAAAGCAATCTTGTTGAACGTTATTTGCGATAATCCCAGATGGAAAGGAAGATAAGAAACGAAGAATCCGGCTCCTGATTGCTTATCATTAGTGCAAATTAGCACACGTCAAAAAAAGGTATTAATAGGATTAG